CCGCCCCGCCCCCAGCCACGGGGCCGACTGTCTCAGCGTTCTCGAACTCCCACAACAGAACGCCGGCCCCGCGCGGCTCCCCCCACGCCTGTGTAACGTCACACTAACACATGAACATGGGACAGGAAGACTGTGTGGGACACGTCTGTGACCCTGGAAAGGGCACGTGTGGGCCTTAAGGGAGCCGTCACCTCACGTGGCCACCGGAGCTTCGGGGCGCCAGGGTGTTGGCTGAGCGACCCTCATTGAGGAAAGGGGCAGGCTCCAGGACAGAAGGGGCACACGGAGTATCTCTAGGACACCAGGCTGCCCTGGGGCGAGGTGCAGCGGGACAAGCTTCCCCAGGCCCCCACGCCTTCAGAGGGCGCGACCCCACTATGTCTGAAACCTTCCTTCTCCTCCTAGCTCCCTCTGCCCTTCTATGCTTCCCGTGCCATCTCTTTCTGGAACCTTCTCGGCCCCCGCCCTGGCCCTCCCTCTCAGGCAATGCCGGGGACCCTCTTCTGAGCTCCGCCATGATCACCCCTCACAGGGCTGTACTGGGTCTGGCCCCGAGCCCCACGTCTCTGCCCACACGTCCACTACCTAGGCCTCGGCCCTGCACAGCTTGCCCGAGGCCAGCAGGGTGGCACCAGGGTGCCTAAGTGAGGTAACGCACACCATGTCCAGGTAGACCAGGGCCTCGGGAGCACCTGCAGCTACGGCAGACAAAGTGTTAATACCTCAGCAGTTTGCAGGTACTGGCTCAGCGTGTACAGAAAATAAAACGCATGGATAGCAAACACAAAATATTCTCCATTAAAACTACGTGAACTGCGCAATACTGGGCAACGTTAAGCTCTCACAGTACAAGAACGGGGCCTGTCTCACCCAAGAAAACGTGTGCACTGTTGAGTTTTTCGAGGTTCACTCATCAGAGCGAGAGGGGTGTACCCTGGACGGGGCCCCACCTGCCGCGGCCCCCACCAGTCCCTTGTCTCCTGGTGTGTTCAGGAGAACCTGGGATCCGAACCCTGGGCCTTCTCGCATGGCTCCAGCCTTCCGCAGCAGCGCCTGACACCTGTGCCACGGTGGTTGGGCCGGCGTGGGCCCTGTGGGTTTGTGAAAACCCCAGGTGTTGGCCGAAGTCGGGACAGCAAACCGAGCTGTGAAACCTTCAATGCCACAGGGAGGGCGCTGACTGCGAAATCGCTGAGCCGGCCGACTGCGGTCTCCGCGGTCAGGACAGTGTTCAGTGCCAGGTGCCTGCTCCCGTGAGCATCCGTCCCTGTCCTTGTTTGTTCGTTTTGTTGAGAGGTTTTTGCTATAGGGCGCGTGCGCTCGCCAGACAGAGACAGAGAGACAGAAAGTGAGAAACCACCCCCCAGGGGGGATGGCCACGCCGCAATCCCTTCTCCATTCTCCTCTCGGGGTCTTGGGCACCTGCGCACATGTGCCCGGCATGAGTTTAAGCCACTGGGTCCGGGACTCGAACTGCGGTCGACTACATGGGAGTCCAGCGACATAGCCATTACACTAATTGCTGGTCCCCGTCTGTCCCTGTCCTGTCCGCGTAGGAGCAGCGTCTTCCGCTAATGTGCTCCCACGTGGCCTTCGGCTTGCCTCGGTAGCTGGCAGGCTTACTTGGGTTATTCCACAACAGGACGAACAAGGCTGGTGTCCCGCCGGGCCAGAAAACCCAACCATTTTCAAAAATGCAGAGGAGATCCGACGGGGAAACCCACACGCACCGGCGTTCTTACAGCTGCTTTCTCTCACTCCTCCACGCAGAGGTGAGGGGGAAAAGACATGTGTGTGTTTGCAAGTTAAAACTCATGTTTTAGGGATCAGAAACAGAAATGTACAGACACCCAACAAATGCAATGATCACTCCGTACACATTCCCAGCCCAGAAAAGCTCTACGGAGTCCCGGAGGGAGGTGGGCTCCCCTTCCAGGCAGACCGCACGCAGAGGTCCTGTCAGGGGCAGAGGCTCTGTGAACCCGGTGGAAGGGAGAGGGAGGGAGGCAGAGCTCCCCACTTCCAGGGCCTGCATGGACTCTGCATAGGGGTAACTCTGCTCCGGGAACAGGCGCCCAGTTGGGGTGAAAATACGAAACCACGGCAGATGTCACTGGGCCAGCCCGCTCGGAGGAGGGACATGGCGTAGATCCTGGCATCAGAGACGTAGGGATGGCTCAGCTCCCTCCTGCTGGGATCTGACAGTGAGGGTGCCTCTCTGAGCTCTCACCTTCCAGGCCCGCAGATGGACTAACGCTGTCAGCACCCCTGCACTGCTGTCACCCGGCCCACGGATGCGCTAAGGCTGTCTGTGCCCCTGCACTGCTGCCACCCGGCCCACGGGTGCACTGGCACTGCCTGTGCCTCTGCACTGCTGCCACCCGGCCCGCAGATGCACTAACGCTGGCTC